TTTATTACAAGTTGTAACAAGCGGAAAATGGAGACAGTTTCGGTTTGTGTTTCCAGGGCATACACTGTATGTGTAGACTGTGTATAAGTCTGTGTAGGGAGCATTAAGATGTGTTTACACAAGGCGCTGTGACCGCTCTGTATATCACAGGTACACACACACACACGTTTCTCAGATATTACACATTACGCCTCCGCCATATATTGTGAGTGAATTGGTTTAGACAATCAAGATATTCCTGGGTAAATACTGGTTTGGAAATATGGTTCTTGCTTTAAGGAACAAATTACCGGGAATCATATTTGGTGCGGGATCGCTGGGTTGTTTCAAGCGTAGGTTATATATATATATATATATATATATATATATATATATATATATATATATATATATATATATATATATATATATATATATATAAATGAGTTTCCACAGATATAAACAGCAGCTGCCTCGTATGGACCAATAGGAGCTGCCTCGTATGGACCAATAGGAGCTGCCTCGTATGGACCAATAGGAGCTGCCTCGTATGGACCAATAGGAACTGCCTCGTATGGACCAATAAGAGCTGCCTCGTATGGACCAATAGGAGCTGCCTCGTATGGACCAATAGGAGCTGCCTCGTATGGACCAATAGGAGCTGCCTCGTATGGACCAATCGTCAGCAATTATCTAAATTATATTTGAACAAAAAGGTTGACATTTTAAGGTTACATTTGGGAAGGATGTTACGTGGTTGACGCAGGTGTTAGTATTCACAGGTGTTGAGCTGGTTTACCGGGACAGCTGTGAGGGCGGTGGAGGGGGGGGGGGGGAGGACTGAGGAGCGGGTGTACATGTGTTGGGGGCGGGTGTACATGTGTTGGGGCGGGTGTACATGTGTGGGGGCGGGTGTACATGTGTGGGGGGGCGGGTGTATATGTGTGGGGGGGGCGGGTGTACATGTGGGGGGGCGGGTGTACATGTGTTGGGGCGGGTGTACATGTGTTGGGGGCGGGTGTACATGTGTAGGGGGCGGGTGTACATGTGGGGGGGCGGGTGTTCATGTGTGGGGGGCGGGTGTCCAAATGTGGGGAGGGCGGTGGAGGGCGTTCGGTTTTTTGCCTTACTTTCATTACCATATCATAGAACTCCATTAGGTTCGTCAGACATGATTTCCTTTTCCTAAAGCCATGCTAATGTTTGTTTACATTCCTAATTCTCTACAGGCGTTTAAGTAGTCTTTATCTTATTTATTCTTAGAGTACTTTGCCAGGGATGCTTGTTGGTATCGCTGGTGTGTAGTTAAGTGTCTCTTCTCCGCCTCCTTGACATGTTGACTGCAACTACATTTGCCATCTTCCAGGTGGTCAAATTCCCCTTTGTTAGTAACTCATTAAAGATTAGTGCTAGAGGCACGCTGAGGGCCTGGGGCGCTTCTTTTAACACCCATGGTGATACATTGTCTGGTCCAATATCTTTAGTTTTGTCTAGTGATGGTAATTGTTTCGTTACCCTAATATTTAGGAGTCTCTCGTAGGGGTAACTTTCTCTACTAGCCCTGGGAACTGTTCAGGTTCACTTGTGAACACTCCATGAAGGCTGCCACTGAGTTCCTCACAAATGTCCTTATCATTTCCTGTAGTGCATTGATTGATTGATTAAGATTAAGCCACCCAAGAGGTGGCACGGGCATGAATAGCCCGTAAGTGGTGGCCCTTTTGAGCCATTACCAGTATCAAGAGCTGATACTGGAGATCTGTGGAGGCGCAACTGTAGTGCATATTCCTCATGCCTTTTCGTAACCTGGTCACTTGGACGTTCTCTGTCATTTTCCTTCTTATATGGATGGCTATGTAGTCTTATATGGATGGCTATGTAGTCTTATATGGATGGCTATGTAGTCTTATATGGATGGCTATGTAGTCTTATATGGATGGCTATGTAGTCTTTTATGGATGGCTATGTAGTCTTATATGGATGGCTATGTAGTCTTATATGGATGGCTATGTAGTCTTATATGGATGGCTATGTAGTCTTATATGGATGGCTATGTAGTCTTATATGGATGGCTATGTAGTCTTATATGGATGGCTATGTAGTCTTATATGGATGGCTATGTAGTCTTATATGGATGGCTATGTAGTCTTATATGGATAGCTATGTAGAAGATCTGGTTGTTTCTGTGCTTTGGAAGCAATATCATGTTCATAGTTTATTTTCGCCAGTCTTCATATATTAATGTGTTCATTCGGAGCCGTGTTGCATCTATTCCTGTTTTCCCTCTATTGTTGACCAGACCACACACTAGAAGTTGAAGGGACGACGACGTTTCGGTCCGTCCTGGACCATTCTCAAGTCGATTTTGAGATTAATCGACTTGAGAATGGTCCAGGACGGACCGAAACGTCGTCGTCCCTTCAACTTCTAGTGTGTGGTCTGGTCAACATACTTCAGCCACGTTATTGTTCCGTCTATTCTTTGACTTCTGTATTTCCTCCACTCCCTCCTACTTTTCACTTTTGTCTCCTGGCACTGACCATTGAACTACGGGTTATTATATTATCTTCTAATTTCTTATCTTATTGTTGGTATTAATCTCTCTACTGTTTCCTTGTACCTCAGTTTGGCTTGGTCCATCATGTCTTGGACCGTCTTCCCTCTATGGTCCTCCTGGCATGGTACACGTCTTAGATACTCTCTTACTGTCACTCCTTCCGTCACTCCTTGTCTTAAGGCCACTGATCTGAGGTCCATCGTGTAGTGGAACACTCAGGACACAATGGTCACCTGCTGCTGCTAGTGGTAGAGTACCATCGTGTAGTGGAACACTCAGGACACAATGGTCTCCTGCTGCTGCTAGTGGTAGAGTACCATCGTGTAGTGGAACACTCAGGACACAATGGTCACCTGCTGCTGCTAGTGGTAGAGTACCATCGTGTAGTGGAACACTCAGGACACAATGGTCACCTGCTGCTGCTAGTGGTAGAGTACCATCGTGTAGTGGAACACTCAGGACACAATGGTCACCTGCTGCTGCTAGTGGTAGAGTACCATCGTGTAGTGGAACACTCAGGACACAATGGTTACCTGCTGCTGCTAGTGGTAGAGTACCATCGTGTAGTGGAACACTCAGGACACAATGGTCACCTGCTGCTGCTAGTGGTAGAGTACCATCGTGTAGTGGAACACCAGGACACAATGGTCACCTGCACCTAGTGGTACCTCATGCTCTAAGGTCTCAATGTCTTCATCATTCTGGGTGAAGATCAAGTCCAGTAGACTTAGTGTATCTCCTCACCTTTCTCTTGTGTCCTCCTTTACATGTTAAGAAGTTTCTTTCTACAACTTCCACTAACTTCGCTCCCCAGGTTTCTTCCCCACCATGGGGAAGAAACCCAGAACCCAGACTCCCAGTCAACCTCTCCATGATTTAGGTCCCCCATGACCAGAAGTTTAGCTGTCATTCTGTGTGTCACTGTTGCTGCTCTCTGTAATGTCTCTATGACTGCTTTGTTGATGGTATCATATTCCTGCCTGGGTCATCTGTTGTTTGGTGGGGGTTGTATTCAACCTGTCCTCTTAAAATAACGTCACTTTTGGCCTTTTGCCCGTATGGCCGAAAGTGGACGTAATTTGAAAATTAAAAAAAAAAATTAAAATAAATTTTGGATTTTTTTTCAACAACAATAAGTTAAGGGTCCTCTGATAGGTTAGGAGGGCAGGAAATCCTCATAAAGTTTCAAAACGTTATGAAAAACGTTAATTGAAAGTTTCCTCTTCTAACCTTACCGAGTAAGCCGGAGGACTCAAACAGAAAACGGGACAGTACGTCACTTTCGTGACCCAATTTCATTTCAAATTACGTCAATTTTTGGCCATAGCGCGCATACGAGCGAAAAGTGTGGCCATAGCGCGCATACGAGCGAAAAGTGAAGTTATTTTTAAGAGGACGGGTTGTGTAAATTACCAGCACCACAAGTCTTTCCCATCTGTTGTCAGAGTCCCAGTGATGTAGCCTGTGCATACATTTGCATCTTGATTGTCTAGTTCCACTTTCCGATTGACTAGGCGTCCAACTCCATCTCCTTCTCTTTGTTTTCTGTCATATTCATATCCCGCTAGAAGTATTCCATCAGAGATCATATAATTTATTTTCCTTTGCACTATTGCAATTAAATCAGGTTACTTTTTGCTGATCCTTTCTTTTATTTCCTCAGGTTTGTTTGTAACTCCATCAACATTTGTGTACCCCTACCTTAAGGTTCCTCTTGGACACACTCCTTCCACAGTTCTCACAGTATTCATGTCCATTTGTTTCAATTCGTGAAGGTTATAAGTGAGAGATGGATGAGGTACTTAGAAGAATGGTTGTAGCAGAAGTTTGGGAGGGAAGGATGTTGTGAGGCAGAGACGGGTTGTGAGGGAGAGAGGGAGTGTGTGGAAGGATGCTGTGAGATAGAGAAGGATTGTGAGGGAGAGAGGGAGTGTGTGGAAGGATGCTGTGAGATAGAGAAGGATTGTGAGGGAGAGAGGAAGTGTGTAGAAGGATGCTGTGAGATAGAGAAGGGTTGTGAGGGTGAGAGGAAGTGTGTAGAAGGATGCTGTGAGGGAGAGGGAGAGAGCGACCGAGAGGGAGAGTGGCTGAGAGGGCGAGAGTTGTGTGTGTGTGTGTGTGTGTGTGTGTGTGTGTGTGTGTGTGTGTGTGTGTGTGGGTGTGCGTGTGTGTGGGGGTGTGCGTGTCTGGGTGTACAGGTGTCTGGGACCAATGGGGCTCCACGTGGTACAACAATAACCACTGTTAATTGTGAAACATTTTAGTATTGCAAATATTTGTGCCGATTGCTTTCCTTCTGACCAATGTATGTGTGTGTTAAAGTGAGGTGATGTTTACGCCCAACCTGATCACCACTGGCGCGTGGCGAAATGTACCCGCGGAGCCTGTGACGTGGAGGTGGACAGGTGGTGTGACGTTGTTTATGAAGCCTGGCCGACCCTAGCGACACCTGCGGCCAGGTGGAGAACTCTCCTCCACACTCCATTAGTACCAGTCTGTCCTCCCCGTGTCTCTCTCTCTCCCCACACTTACAAACATCCTCAAGTGCCCCACTTAACACTTTATAAGCGAGAGAGAGGTTACAGATGCGTTTTGAGAGATAAGGAAGCCAGTTCACGCGAGACAGACGCCCGTCTTATCAGCGCTATCAGTCAGTGCCACGTGTTATCCTCGCCAAGCAAGCGGACGGGACAAGGCGCCATGCCACAGGAGAACATTACCAAGGTGGAGCTGGAGAGAGGCACAATGAAAGACGCCGCCAAGGACACCCTAGACACTGAGGACAACACCTTGGTGAGAGGTAGGAGTGACTGAGACGCTTCTTGTAATATTGTTCATGTTATACACTGTAATTACCTCAGTGAATAGCCCTCAGATGAATGGCATTTGTGTATTATTATGGGATACTACAGTAAGGGTAGTGAACAGCACATCAGGGGTAGTGAACAGCACATCAGGGGTAGTGAACAGCACATTAAGGGTAGTGAACAGCACATTAAGGGTAGTGAACAGCACATCAGGGGTAGTGAACAGCACATCAGGGGTAGTGAACAGCACATTAAGGGTAGTGAACAGCACATCAGGGGTAGTGAACAGCACATCAGGGGTAGTGAACAGCACATCAGCGGTAGTGAACAGCACATCAGGGGTAGTGAACAGCACATTAATGGTAGTGAACAGCACATTAATGGTAGTGAACAGCACATCAGGGGTAGTGAACAGCACATTAATGGTAGTGAACAGCACATCAGGGGTAGAGAACAGCACATTAATGGTAGTGAACAGCACATCAGGGGTAGTGAACAGCACATTAATGGTAGTGAACAGCACATCAGGGGTAGTGAACAGCACATTAATGGTAGTGAACAGCACATTAATGGTAGTGAACAGCACATTAGGGGTAGTGAACAGCACATTAATGGTAGTGAACAGCACATCAGGGGTAGTGAACAGCACATCAGGGGTAGTGAACAGCACATCAGGGGTAGTGAACAACACATCAGGGGTAGTGAACAGCACATCAGGGGTAGTGAACAGCACATTAAGGGTAGTGAACAACACATCAGGGGTAGTGAACAGCACATCAGGGGTAGTGAACAACACATCAGGGGTGGTGAATACCACATCAGGGGTATAGTGAACAACACATCAGGGGTAGTGAACAACACATCAGGGGTAGTGAACAGCACATCAGGGGTAGTGAACAACACATCAGGGGTGGTGAACACCACATCAGGGGTATAGTGAACAACACATCAGGGGTAGTGAACACCACATCAGGGGGTAGTGAACAACACATCATGGGGTAGTGAACACCACATCAGGGGTATAGTGAACAACACATCAGGAGTGGTGAACAGCACATCAGGGGTAGTGAACAGCACCTCAGGGGTAGTGAACAGCACATTAAGGGGAGTGAACAGCACATTAGGGGTAGTGAACAGCACATCAGGGGTAGTGAACAGCACATCAGGGGTAGTGAACACCACATCAGGGGTATAGTGAACAACACATCAGGGGTAGTGAACAGCACATTAAGGGGAGTGAACAACACATCAGGGGTATAGTGAACAACACATTAAGGGGAGTGAACAACACATCAGGGGGAGTGAACAGCACATTAGGGGTAGTGAACAGCACATCAGGGGTAGTGAACAGCACATCAGGGGTAGTGAACACCACATCAGGGGTATAGTGAACAACACATCAGGGGTAGTGAACAGCACATTAAGGGGAGTGAACAACACATCAGGGGTATAGTGAACAACACATTAAGGGGAGTGAACAACACATCAGGGGTAGTGAACAGCACATCAGGGGTAGTGAACAGTACATTAGGGGTAGTGAACAGCACATTAAGGGTAGTGAACAGCACATCAGGGGTAGTGAACAGCACATTAAGGGGAGTGAACAACACACCAGGGGTAGTGAACAGTACATTAGGGGTAGTGAACAGCACATCAGGGGTAGTGAACAGCACATTAAGGGTAGTGAACATCACATCAGGGGTAGTGAACAGCACACCAGGGGTAGTGAACACCACATCAGGGGGTAGTGAACACCACATCAGGGGTAGTGAACACCACATCAGGGGTATAGTGAACACCACATCAGGGGTAGTGAACACCACATCAGGGGGTAGTGAACAACACATCAGGGGTAGTGAACACCACATCAGGGGGGAGTGAACAACACATCAGGGGTAGTGAACACCACATCAGGGGTAGTGAACACCACATCAGGGGTAGTGAACACCACATCAGGGGTAGTGAACACCACATCAGGGGTAGTGAACACCACATCAGGGGGTAGTGAACAACACATCAGGGGTAGTGAACACCACATCAGGGGTAGTGAACAACACTTTAAGGGTAGTGAACACCACATCAGGGGTAGTGAACACCACATCAGGGGGTAGTGAACAACACATCAGGGGTAGTGAACACCACATCAGGGGGGAGTGAACAACACATCAGGGGTAGTGAACACCACATCAGGGGTAGTGAACACCACATCAGGGGTAGTGAACACCACATCAGGGGTAGTGAACACCACATCAGGGGGTAGTGAACACCACATCAGGGGGTAGTGAACAACACATCAGGGGTAGTGAACACCACATCAGGGGGGAGTGAACAACACATCAGGGGTAGTGAACACCACATCAGGGGTAGTGAACACCACATCAGGGGTAGTGAACACCACATCAGGGGGTAGTGAACACCACATCAGGGGTAGTGAACACCACATCAGGGGTAGTGAACACCACATCAGGGGGTAGTGAACAACACATCAGGGGTAGTGAACACCACATCAGGGGTAGTGAACAACACTTTAAGGGTAGTGAACACCACATCAGGGGGCAGCCAATGGCACTTTATGGCACGTCAAATTAATACAATGATGAAGACAGTTTATAAAAAGAATTTGCTTAATTTTTGGTATAAGTAGTTTTTTTAATTATTTTTCTTTCATTATATTTAATTTTGACTCATTTGTACCCAACCGCCGTGTTCTTAACGGAGCTGAGAACCGTCACTTGTCGGCTCTATCAACACGGAGACCTTTGTGAGACAATATGCTGCGCCTTGTAAAAATATTCAGTAGTTACTTCACTGTCAAGATAAGAGCCTCAGTTCGTCAAGCATTTACCTCTTACGAAACCTCTACATCTTTCGTTAATCATAGCGGCTTATTTTTGTATTAAACAGTTTACAAGCTGGGAAACTCCACAACCCAATGTTGTTATTGTTATAAACAACCTTCTAGTGCTTCGGTGCTCATATGAACTGTTTTATAAATAGAAGGCTCAAGATTGAGGGAAAGATGTACAGGTTTCGTAAGTGGAGGGTTAAATGATTAGGGAATCCTGGTGGGAACCTTGGGTGTGTGTTGAAGGGCCTCGGACTCCCCCACACCAGCACCTGGAGTGGCTCCTGGAGGAACCACACTTCAGCCTCCTATATAGTGCTCGAGCAATACCTTGAGGGTGTGTAAACTTGTGTGAGTTTGTCTCCAGACACTTGTAGAGTGGACAAGTGTCAACACTGCTGAGGGCCTTCTCTCAAGATGAGAGAGAGACATTTGTTTGGGTTTATCTTAGTCTTCCTTGGTGTATACTGTGGTATACTGTTGCCTCTCCTGGTGTACTCTGGTATGCTGTTGCCTCTACTGGTGTACTGTGGTATACTGTTGCCTCTCCTGGTGTAATGTGGTATACTGTTGCCTCTACTGGTGTACTGTGGTATACTGTTGCCTCTCCTGGTGTACTGTGGTATACTCTTTCCTCTACTGGTGTACTGTGGTATACTGTTGCCTCTCCTGGTGTACTGTGGTATACTCTTTCCTCTCCTGGTGTACTGTGGTATACTGTTGCCTCTCCTGGTGTATTGTGGTATACTGTTGCCTCTCCTGTGTACTGTGATATATTCTTGCCTCTCCTGGTGTGCTGTGGTATACTCTTGCCTCTCCTGGTGTAATGTGGTATACTCTTGCCTCTCCTGGTGTACTGTGGTATACTCTTTCCTCTCCTGGTGTACTGTGGTATACTGTTGGCTCTCCTGGTGTACTGTGGTATACTGTTGGCTCTCCTGGTGTACTGTGGTATACTGTTGCCTCTCCTAGTGTACTGTGGTATACTGTTGGCTCTCCTGGTGTACTGTGGTATACTGTTGCCTCTCCTGGTGTACTGTGATATACTGTTGGCTCTCCTGGTGTACTGTGGTATACTGTTGCTCTCCTGGTGTACTGTGGTATACTGTTGGCTCTCCTGGTGTACTGTGGTATGCTGTTGGCTCTCCTGGTGTACTGTGGTATACTGTTGGCTCTCCTGGTGTACTGTGGTATACTGTTGCCTCTCCTGGTGTACTGTGGTATACTGTTGCTCTCCTGGTGTACTGTGGTATACTGTTGGCTCTCCTAGTGTACTGTGGTATACTGTTGGCTCTCTTGGTGTACTGTGGTATACTGTTGCCTCTCCTGGTGTACTGTGGTATACTGTTGTCTCTCCTGGTGTACTGTGGTATACTGTTGCTCTCCTGGTGTACTGTGGTATACTGTTGGCTCTCCTAGTGTACTGTGGTATACTGTTGGCTCTCTTGGTGTACTGTGGTATACTGTTGCCTCTCCTGGTGTACTGTGGTATACTGTTGCCTCTCCTGGTGTACTGTGGTATACTGTTGGCTCTCCTGGTGTACTGTGGTATACTGTTGCCTCTCCTGGTGTACTGTGGTATACTGTTGCCTCTCCTGGTGTACTGTGGTATACTGTTGGCTATCCTGGTGTACTGTGGTATACTGTTGCTCTCCTGGTGTACTGTGGTATACTGTTGCTCTCCTGGTGTACTGTGGTATACTGTTGCCTTTCTTGGTATACTGTGACAGGATGTCTAATCATGCTATTGGTACTGAAGCTATAACAGTGACACTGAGGCTATGACAGTGACACTGAGGCTATGACAGTGACACTGAGGCTATGACAGTGACACTGAAGCTATGACAGTGACACTGAGGCTATAACAGTGACACTGAGACTATAACAGTGACACTGAGACTATGACAGTGTCACTGAAGCTATAACAGTGACACTGAGGCTATAACAGTGACACTGAGGCTATAACAGTGTCACTGAGGCTATAACAGTGACACTGAGGCTATAACAGTGACACTGAGACTATAACAGTGTCACTGAGGCTATAACAGTGACACTGAGACTATAACAGTGACACTGAGACTATAACAGTGACACTGAAGCTATGACAGTGACACTGAGGCTATAACAGTGACACTGAAGCTATAACAG